AAACTCGCAGCAAAAGAACCACTAATAACTTTTGACTATATTATGAAAAAAGACTTGTATAAGTGTATATTGCAGCTCCAATATAATTCACATATGGAGACTTGAAGATCTATCCAGCACCAATATACTGCGAATAACCCGAACAGGATAAAACCAAGCTATCTCTCCAGCTGCCGGTGCAACGACATCAAAGCATTTATCCGCCTAGGACGCCTAGGACACACAATTGCCACACATGCGCTCCTCCTAAATAGTTCTATTCCACCAGTCTGCCAACACTGCCCGTCGTTAGCTTTAACAGCCTATCATTTACTCGACGACTGCCCACATTTCGCAGCGATTAGAAARAATATCTTCGACGACCAAATACCGTCTACTCTGTTACAAACGAGTTCCTCTGAAAACGTAACAAAAACATCAGCATTCTTAGTACAAACAGGATTAAAACCACAAATACAGAACATTTTATTAACTTTACACCTAAGACTTAATTAAGCAATAACTATACATTTTATATTTACATCAACGAGCCGAAGGTCCTGGCAGCCAGTGCTCCTTTTTTCGTGGAAAAATAATTGTATTATTGTTTCACGTTTTTATAAATAAATAAATAAAAATATTTTATACTATGTAATAAATATATGTTACCAACGGTTTATACTTATCATATATATTTATAAACTCTCTTCGTTGTTAATGCGGTTGCTACCAGAACACTTGCAATGTTGTTGTAGCTCCACTGTGGCCAACGACGCCGTTGTCAATTTGTTTCTACTTGCTGCAGCGCTGCTGTGATTTGCCGATTCTTGTCGTGTTTGTCGTCGAAAATTCTACTTACGTGATCTTTACTGTCTTGTGGTTTCTGTTGCTTTGTCCATGCCCTTGGGTTTTAAATATCTTTGACGAGATGTGATCGTTACACTGTCTTCTGGATCCCGTTGCTTTGCCCAGGTATCATTTTGCTTGTCCTTGGACTTACAAGAGCTCTCCGTCAACCACACTTATTAGGGAATTTAAACTTTTATAAAAGTTATCAATTTAAAAAAAACCTATAACTCCGCACAAACTTTTGAGCTTAGTTCATTTCACTGCTTTGAAAATGTTTAATTTTTATACACTTTTTAATTTTTGTAAAAATGTTTTTTTTTTGTTTTGGTTTTTTTAGCACTCGTAATTTTTTTCTTTTGATGAAGCAAACAAGTTTTTTTATTTAAAAAAATTTTCCATATTTTTTCTATTTATTTATAAACATTTGTATTATGATTTTTAAAATTATACTCTGGTCAGAAATATTATTCTTATTCCTCGTCGCCAATAATATTCTTCAAAGAAACACGCTTCTTCGGTGTCAGTCCAAAAACTAAATCCATAATTTATTACATGAAATGTTACACGCTTGATCTAGGTTCTCTTCAATATAGTAAGTTATATTAATTACAACAAATAAATTTTGAGCTCTCTCTCTCATCCTTTACTTAATGATAACTGTTACATTGTTATACATATTGATATTATTATATTATTATGTATAAATATATTCAAAACATAGAAAGCAATATAAAAAATATAAAACAACGAAGCAGACATACATACATATCTGCATCAGCAGGTAACATAAGGTTTCTACAACTGAACGCAAACCACTGTCAAGCGGCTCATGACTTATTAAAACAGTCAGTTGCCAAAAAGCAAATTTATGTGGTTCTACTAAGTGAACCATAAAAATCGGACAAGGCGTAACCAGGATAAGTGACACTCGAAATAAAGCGGTTATATGGAAATGTAGCCCTAACTTTGCGCAACTGGAAGCACCCTTCTCTTCTGATGGTTTCGYTCGAACAACAACTAATAATATTAATATATACATATGTGGAGTACTGGTTTATTGGGATACGTCTGGGCGACGTGATAACCAAAATCCAACAGGCATGCTTAGCTTATAATTTAATATCTTATATGCTTATTTAGGTAACGGTGATCGACAAGCATCAGGTGATGCTGCTGTCAATATGTAATGATATTATTATATTAATTAATGTATGTAAGAGGGAAAGCAGTACTGTAACTCATAGGATAACAATGTAAAGTAGAATGTAGGATAACTTAAACATTAGTTGCACTAATATAAATGAACTTAGTATTAACCTGTGAATGCATGAGTTAAATAAATTCAAATATATGTTTAATGTTTCCCCTTCGGGGGAAAAAAGTAAATTACCAAGAATTTTTGTTTTGAATTATGAAGACGTTTTGAGGCGCACTCTTTTTTGACTTCTATGTATTGTAGTAGAAAGGTCAGGACTTGTGTCGCTGGTATTTATGTTGCATAGGTTATATCTAGACGAATTGGATGGTTGATGCTCGATGGATATGTGTGCAGGTTTTCCGTATAGTACTTTGTAGTATTTTTCATATTTGTCCATAACCGGGACAAATCATCATATGGTGATGAAAATGATTGTTTTATTATATTTTATCGTTTCGAATAAAAACGTGCGAGAACCTTTGAAATGAAGATTTTCTCTCGGTTATGACGAGAAGCAGGCGTAGGCGTTAGATTTTTAAACGCTTTCCTTAGCGTTTTAACGAGTTCAGGTGGTTCGATTATTTTATTTGATGGTGTTAAAAACTCACCAGGGAGTCTGACTGGCTCATCAAAAACAATTTCTGCTGGTGTGGCTTGGACGTTTTCCCTGAATGCAGCTCACAGTCCTAAGAGAACTGCAGAGTGCATCGTACCAACTATCGTTATGGCAAAGAAGAGATGATTTGAGTTGTCGATGAAAGCGTTCGATAAGCCCAATAAGATTGTGGGTGATAACTCGTTGTTCGTTGCACGTTGATGTTAGAAACCGAGGAGATCAGCGAGCTTCCTGAAAAGGTCTGACTCGAATTATCCTCCAAGGTCAGTTGTTATTCGAAGTGGTACTCCAAAGTAGGAAATCCWAGTTTCCATGAGTGCATGTGCTACTCGGAAACTATGCCGTCAATAAGTGGTACCGCTACTGGATAGCGTGTGAATCGGTCGATTATTGTGAGAAATTTGGTGTGTCCTGTTCAAATCTACGCGAAGGTGGCTGGAATGTTGCGATATATCTTTTTGTGATAAGGCGTCTTGTAGCTCGGCAACCAGGGTATGAGCCTCGAAGATTCGCCGTCTCAGTTGTTGTGGACGGACGTGCTGTACCTGTAGATATGTCGCAGTATATAACAATGTCAGTGGTATTGCTGTCGATTTTGCGTAGCTCTAATGGTGTATTCGAGCTGTTGAGTAGCTGTTGAAGTTCTGCGTCGTTGGTTTGAGTGAATGCAAGTTTTTCGAATGCAACTGCTGTGTGAATGGCATCGACTCGAGATAAAGCGTCCGCAACGATATTGCCGTATATCGGTGGTAAACTGACCGATCTGGTATGGTCGTCGAAATTGCCATGGTGAAGCGCGTTCAGATTTCTGTTTGAATGCGTGCATTAAGGGTTTGTGGTCTGTGTAGATTGCGATGTGTCGCCCCTCAAAAATATGACGAAAGTATTTCACTGCTTCGTATACTGCGTTGAGTTCACGATTGTATGTCAATCGTTTTTGAACACATGCTGCAAGTTTGCAAATAAAGAATGCAAACGGTTGCCAATGATCGCCAATACGTTGCTGAAGCGCGGCACCAATTCCGCATTGAGATGCGTCTGCAATGATGGCCCACTCGGAATTGTTATCTGGGTGTGCCAAGAGTGTTGCATTAGCAACAGCTTTCTTGCAGTTTGAAAATGCGTTTTCTAGCGATGTTGTCCAGTTGATTGGGGGTTTTCCATTGATTTTAGGGCCTTCAAGTAGCGTGTTGAGTGGCGCGAGTAAGCTTACTATGTTCTTAATAAATTTGCGGTAAAAGTTGATTGTACCAATAAAGTTGCGTAGCTTGGTGATTGTCGAAGGTTGAGGATAGTCGATGATGACTTTGACTCGTTCCGTTGTCGTTTTTTTCCATGGGCGGGAATTGTATGCCCTAGAAACTCGATTTGTTTGAGACCTAGACTTGTTTTTGTTGTGCTGATGACTAAGCCATATTGCTGAAGGTGTTGAAAAATGATACGTAAATGATGTTTGTGTTCTGCTTCGTTGGCAGATGCGACCAGTAGGTCATCGATGTATGCGAAAACGAAAGGTAGATCTCGGGTTACCTCAAGATGAAGCGTTGAAAAGTCTGTGCTACATTTCGGAGTCCGAAGGTCATAAATGGGAACTCGAAAAGACCAAACGGTGTGATTATAGCCGTTTTGTGAACGTTCTTCAGCTACTGGAATTTGATTGAAGGCAAGAATTAGGTCGATGGTTGAATAGAAAGATGTAACATGTAAATTTGCGGTGAAATCTTCTAAGCATCGAACTGGGTACCGATCTGGTATGGTCGTACCACCGGTACTAACGAGCGTACGGTAATCGCCGCATGGGCGCCATTCAACACTCTTTTTGGGCGCCAGATATAGAGGTGATGACCAAGGGCTGTCTGATGGTCTTGCAATGCCCAGTTTGATCATCTTTTGGAACTCAGCTTTTGCGATTTTTAGTCGTTCGGCTAATCGCTAATCACCGAGCACGACTGTGAAGTTTGTTTGGTTGACCATCGGGACGTGTAATCTTAGGATATTCGGCAAGCAGTTTCTAAAATCCTGATGATTGATTCGGCTGTTGGAGTCACACTTTTAGTTGTACCTGTGGTTCACAGTCGTGTGGTTTCGTCGATGAGTCGTTGGTTTTTGAGGTCGACGAGGATGCCATAGTGTGAAAGTAAATCGGCCAATGATTGGATTCGACACATCTGCCAGCATAAAGCGCCATGTTAGCGCTCTGCGAAGGCCAATGTTCAAAACCATTGTTACGACACCGTATATTAAGTGTGCGAAGGTAGACTGAAACTTCGGAGACTGAGTCCACCAGAAATTGTGTGCGTAATTGGCGGTCCGTGATGAAGAAGCAGTACGATGGTGAAAGAGAGGCGCTTTCCGCCGCTAACGTCTCTCTGCTCCGTTTCCCGCTTGTTGGCAATTCGATGTGCATTTTTGAGCCAGTTCGCCAAACTTTTTCTGATACCAGCAGGTTTTACTGGTGGACATGGCAGGAGAAACCGATCTGCTTCTGTTGATGCATTGTGCACGAAAACATTTTCGTCCAGTGGTTTCATGGGTGTCCAAACGCTTCTGAAGGCATTTCGTAATGTGAGCGAGTTGTTGCTCTACGGCTGTAGAATTGGAGTTGTGAGTCGTTGTAAGCGATTTTGCAGCTATATAATGCCCTTGAGAAGGTAGAAGAACATCGTTTAAAAGATCCACAGCTTCGCTTAACGGATGTAGCTCGGCCGTGCGTTGTGCAACCAAACATGCGCGCATTTGGTCGGTCAGATGTGAGAGCCACCATGCCCTTAATGCTTCCTCATCTATATCCGGAACCTAACTTCGAAGGTGTTGAAGCTGTTGAGAGGGCGTTCTATCGCCGAGGCACTCACCCTCCGGAAGTTGTACAATTTCCGCTTCTCTCAATTTAGAATAGCACGCAATTAGTTTAGTCTTTAAACGTTGATAGGGCTTGTCGACTGGTGGATTTAAAATGATGTCCTCAGCGTCGGCAGCTATGCGCGTGTCTATCAACGGAATCGTGTGGTGTAGTTTGTCTACTTCGCTTGTAACACTGTGATTGCGGAATTGTGATTCTAATTGCGTGAACCACAGGGCAGGCTTGTCTTGGTTGAAGAGTGGAACACGTATTATCGCAGGGCTGGAATTGTTTCCCAGGAACATGGAAGGCTTCGGTAGGCATGGCGTGTCAACGCCGGCAGGCATTTCGGATGATATTTAGTTATTAAAAAAATATAGAAAATTTAAAATAATAGTTATGAAATATTGCACAAAACGCTGCCAAATGATGGTCGAATGGTGTGACTTTAGCCTCGTGTCACCTTCAGTGGTGGTTATGTCTCGATTATGAGCTATATTAAGAATGCATTCGACGCTTCAATGTCTCGACGCAAACACCATTCTCCAGTGTATTGGTGGAATGAGACGATCGCCAGATTACGTAAAGAATACCAGATTACGTAAAGAATACCACCACGTAAGGCGAATATACGTGGTATATCTGAATACACCACTCTGATAAACACTTTAAGGACAAAAGAAAATTACTAAAACAAGGAATTATAAAAAACAAGCAGAAATGTTTTCTTTGATAGATATAGATAGATATACATATTTTTATTTCATGTACAATAAATATACAGGAAACAAGAAAAAAACAGCATTAGCTCGAGGCCATCAGCTGGTTTTACGAAAGAATACTAATTTACATTTTGTTTATGGATTACAAATATTATACAGTTAAGGTTAACTAAAGTGCTGTTGTGTCGGAAAGAAGTTGATGTGAAGTGATGGAACAGTCAACCCAAAAATCCGTTGCCTTTGAAAAGAAAATCAAGGGCAGATGCCCAAGATATGCTTCACAGATGTGCTCATTGACCCGCAACCGTTGCATAATGATACTCCATGACTAAGAAGATGTCCGTGAGTGATCTGCGTGTGGCCCAAACGAAGTYTTGTGAAAACGAGAATGTCTGACTGTTTAGCATCGGAAGGAAAAGTAGGCCTAATTTTTTTTGGATTAAAATCTGCATAATGGTGAGCACATTCTTTCCACTTTAGTAAGGATTTATTGTTAATATACTACCGTACATGTCTCGACAAATCGGCCTTTTCAAAAGTATCAAAACAGATAACTGGGTCATTATGAAGACTCTTCGCAACAGAGTCAGCTAGTTCATTGCCTTGAATGCCACAATGGCCAGGAATCCAAATCAATTTAATTTCGTTTTTGTGTTTAATTAGCAAATCCCTGATGTGGGTTATTAGAACGCTGTCCTTTTTGAATTTCCAGAGGGCATCAATGGCAAACCGACTGTCAGTACAAATGCAGAAATTGCCCTTGGTTTTCGATGCAATTAAGGCGGCTTGATGGATATCAAAGATTTCACTGGTGTAGATGGAGCAATGATTAGGCAGGATACCTTTTCTTAAAACATCAAGGTTTTCAGAGACTACTGCAAATGAGGTTGAAAATTTGGTTTTCGAACCATCGGCAAAAATAAAGTTGAATGCTTTTTGACTTAGCTCAGCTTTATATTCCAGAAAATTTTGCGCGTAAAGTTGTGGACAGGTGTTTTGCTTCTGAAATGTTTGTAAACGGGTTTCAATTGATAAGTCTGACAGCAGCCAAGGCGGGTAGTTTGGATACACTTTCCGAGTTGGTTTAACTGATAGATTTAATTTCTTGGCAGTGATCAGTACACGGTGTATCGCTGAGAGCCGCTTTGGAAGATACTTTCGATTGGAAGCTTTAAGTATTTCGTCAAAGAGGTGGCTGTTATTGCAGCATAAAATTTTGTATATAAGGCTTGCAGTCATGTATTCGATTCTCTCATTTATGCTAGGGAGTCCAGATTCAGTTAGCATATTGTCGATGGGGGTGGCGGTGAAGGCCCGTAAGCTTTTCCGCACGGCTGCGTGATATGGAGCACAGAGAAGGTTTAAGTTGCTTTTGGCACAAGTTCCATAGATTGGCAGCGCGTAGTCAATTACAGTTAAAAATAATGCTTTACCAATATTACAAAGTGTAGTAGTATGAACAAATGATTTTTTAGACGAAAAATATTTTATAATATTGAGACGCTTGATAAGTTTATTTCTAATACAATTACAGTGAAACTTAAAAGTGTATTTACAATCAAATAAAATGCCTAATATTTTCAAACTGCTGACATTGCTTACATACACATTGTTATGACATAGTTTTATATTTGGGCAGCATTTTTTCCGACAGATATGCAAGGTATTGCACTTCTCATTATCGTTATTCTTGACAAGCAGAAGTAGTTTACCATCTCTAAGGGTAGATATGGAGTGAACGTAATCACTAATTATCTTACTGGCACGATAAATAGCAAAGCAGGAATAGTAGGAAAGAGGTTTGGTCGAGTCAGTAGCTTTGAAAAAAACACTCGAAATGCTAGAGACACGACTTATCGGCGCGAGAGCTAGTCGAGTAAAAAAACATCTGTGAACTTCAAAGAACATTTAATAAAAGAATGAAATTGGTACAGGCGTTGTTGAGTTATGCGTTTAACAACACATTTCTCGATTCATTTTTATGTTATAAACGCAACTTTCATAATTTTCTTACATAAGCACCTTCTCCTAATAATAACAAATAAAACAAAAAAAATTAGTAAAATCGGTCCAACCATTCACGCTTGATGCCATGATTCGGGAAAAATTGTTCCTTTTTATATAAATAGATAAATAGATTGTTACAGTTCACTTTAACTTTACGAAGTCTTTGTTAGCCGGTGATGCAACCATCGAATTAAAGCCGTGGGGAAACGATCACGGTTCACTTGCGGAATCAAAAGCGACAAGAAGAATATTTCCATTGACGACATTTTTACTTGTTTGGCAGAGTAGAGTTGTGAGTTGTGGTGACCTCATAAACATAAAGGCAAGAGTTTTGTAAATTAAGAATGCAGCAAGCTTGCATAAATAAGAGTTTTGCGAATGTCGTTGAGAATTTACTTGCAAATGTAAGTGTTTTGCGAACTTCGTTGACAATTTGCTTACAAATTGTTAAAATAAGTGCGTTTGATACCTTAAAATATCATTTGCTATTAAAATAGGTTATTATCTACTTAATTAATGTCTGTGCTGTGGGCAGCAGCAGCGATATTTTTGAGCAATTCCTGGCGAGGAGCTGCAGATAAAAAGTGCATTATGGCCTTCACTGTAAAATATTTCTAATTACATTTTATATTCATATTTAAATTCTATTGCAGAAACTTTGAAGTTGAAGGCAACTGATGTTTTCCTCTAAGTCACATTTCCAGTACGTAAAAAATCATATTAAAATTAAGCAACAAAGAAAGTTAACTTAAATACTAAGTAATAATAGTTTTTTTAATGAAACAACAATGAAGTTCCTGTTTTTACATTTAATTTAATATTATTATGTTAAAAGAAAAATTAATATTGAAAATGATTTGTTGATGTACTCGTATCAATAAAAAGACATATCCAAAACTAAGTAAACGTTTAAAACGTTTACTAATTTCAATTGTCTTTGATACGCTTATAAAGTTGGGTCCTTTTCGATTATAAACCCCTTGCTTTGATGTCTTTTGTAAATGTCACAGTAGCGTTTTATAAGTGTTTACTTACATTTAAAGGCTTAAAAAACGCTTATGTTTATATGTAAATGCTGACTGGGATGGTATATTGTTGTATAGTGTTAGTGTGTGTATTGGTTTTCTCAAGTGTGGTGCGATCGGGTGTCAGTGTTGTGGTTTGGGGAATGGTGTTTAAGTGGGCCGGAGATTATACTCATTTAACCAGATACCAAATATGATATGATTGTAATTCATTAATGATTTCCTTGAATAATTTAATGAACTAAAATAGTTTCAAAACCGGAGCATACTCTTGTAGAACCCCCAGAGAGAATCCAGTGCCCTGAGCATACTAAAATTATGGAGGGAACACTTCAGCAGAACGTCAGGACAAAGCGAACATGATTCCCCAATCGACCACTATGTTCCATTGCCCGAACATGAAAAAGTTCGAAGAGCAATTGCCCGTCTAAAGAACAACAAACTGAACAAGGCATGTAACGCTCTATCGAGCGTATTGTGTGAAATATTAAAGCCTACCGCCAACAAACTGATTGGACCATATCAGTGGGGGTTTAGACCAGAAAAATAAGCAACCGACTAGATATTCACCATGTGCCAAGTCTTGGAAAAGATCTGTGAACAGACCTTTTCGACAGCACGAAAAAGAGCTGCTTGAAAGCCACGATGTCTGAATTTGGTATCCCCGCAAAACTAATACGTTGATGAACACCAAAATCTCCGTCAGGATCGTGAAGGACCTCTCCGAGCCGTTCGATACCAAATGGGGTTTCAGACAAAGCGACTCCTTCTCGTGCGACTTCTGCAATGTTCTCTTCGAGAAAATAATTCGAGCTGCAGAACTTAATCGAGCATCTACAATCTTTTACTATATAAGAGTGTACAGCTGCTGGAGTATACCGATGATATTGATATCATCGGCCTAAAAACTCGCGATGTTAGTTCTGCTTTCTCCAGACTGGACAAAGAACAAAGCAAATGGGTCTGTCAGCAAACTTTTCCAGTAAAGGCAGTAAATATCTCCTGTCATCAAACAAATAGTCGGTGTACTCGCGACTTGGCTCTCACATCAAAGCTGACAGTCATAACTTCGAAGTTGCAGATAATTTGGTCTATTTTACAACCAGCATTAACAGCAACAACAATATCAGCCTAGAAATCGAATGGAGAATAACTCTTGCCAACAGGTGCTACTTCAGACTGAGTAGGCAATTGAAATGTAAAGTCATCTCTCGACGAAAAAAATTAAACTCTACAGGTCACTCATTATTGACTGCTTTTTGGTGCAGAGGCATGAACGATGACATCAACTGATGAGTCGATGTTGCGAGTTTTCGGGAGAAAAGTTCTGCGAAAGATTTATGGTACTTTGCTTGTTGTCCACGGCAAATAAGTGCATTCTATGAAACGGTGATCTGTATGAGTTATACGACGATATTGACATAGTTCAGCGAATCAACAGCCAGCGGTCGTGTCGAAATACTTATTGCAATTGGTTTGATAATATAAAACAATACTTMTATTTTATTTTAAAAWTTTTTGGAGTAKTAAYACTTTGTTTCCAAACTTGGTATTTATATGAAAAAGAGAGTTGATGACTGCTAGTTAAAGAAG